AAAGCCCAGCGCTATGCTCCCCAGCGGAAGCTGCTGCTGAATACCTTCATCTGTTCACGCTGCTTATAAAATGGGCGACTTATAAACAAGACAAATGCATGTATCACAACTGCGAAGGCTGAGAAGTCCAAGAGTGGCAACAGCATAGCCAAGTGTCTGGTAAGGACTCTTTCTGGTTCAGAGATGACTTTTTCCCCCACCGTCCTCACATGGTGCAAGGGGTAAGTTAACTTTTGGGGCCTCTTGTATTCAGGCATTAATTCCATCCATGAAGGCTCAGCCTTTATGAACCAATTACTTCTCCAAGGCCCAACCCCCAAGCCTTCACCCTGAGGGTTAGGATTTAAGTACAGGAATCAGGGACAGGGTAAGCCCTTCTGACCACTGCAGGGACAGCAAGCTGCTGTGAAACCAGTGCTGCCAAGTGGTGGGGCCTGGCTGGAAGGGATGGGCCACTGGGGCTGTGACTTGTATGGTACACATTCCTCTCCTGCTCCTCCCTTCTCTCCACATTCTGCATGTGTAGGGTTGACACCTTTTCCTCCCCCAAGTCCCTCTGCAATCCTGCTTCTGCCTTGGACTCAACTGACCATACCCTAAAGCTATGAGCCAAAGCTGACTTCTCCTCCTGTAAGCTGTGGATGTTGGGTGCCCAGTCCCAGCCAGAGGAAGCAACAGAGACAGATATTGTAGGAGTAGCTTCACTGCTGTGATTGTTCCTGACCACGTGATTTAGAAGCCTTTAGATGTGGTTTAAAGGGGGACTTTAAAAGGACTTTAAAAAGATTTCAAGATGCCAAATAGAGAAGCCTAAAATTCTATAAGCTGAGCTTGATAGGAGATTCTGCACAGAGTTCAAAACATAAAAATTAGGATAGGAATGTGGCAGAAGCCAGGGTTTTAGGTCAACTGTGTAAGCACCAGACTGGCAAACACTAGGTCATAAGTTTGATCCCCAGTACCAACAACAACAACAATGAAAGAAAGAAAGAAAGAAAGAAATGAAGGAAGGAAGGAAGAAAGAAAGAAAGAAATAGAAATATGGACAGAAAAGACCAGGCTTAGAGGGTTTCTGTTGGAACAAAGACTCCATTGGTAGTTCAAGTACAACCCATGTGTGTTATGCTCTGGCAGAAAATTTGTTCTGAGACTTTTGGCAAGATTAAGACAAAGGACAGTGGATTAATTAATCTAATAGAGGAAATTTCAAAGTAGACCAATGTCCAGGCTGTGGCATGGGAACCGTTGGTTGCCTTTAGTCAGTTCTACAGTGAAAACCAGGAGCAAACATTAAAGTCAGCAGATAAAAAGTTTGTAGTTTTAACAGCAAGGGAACATTTCCTGCACAGTTAGGGATACAGAAAGCATGGTTGCTGAAAAGATTAGTATCTTAAAAAGCCAAAAACCTTGCATCAAAGCCATAGGAAAGATGTCTTGAAGGTATCTCAGGAATCAGCAAAACCCCTTGGAAAAGTCAAATGTACAAAACTTTAATGCTTTCCTTTGGAAAGAGAGCCTCAAGGAGCCCAGCTCATTCAGGGCTGCAATGGGAGATGCTTCCCTGGGTTCAGCCTTCTAGGCACTCAGTGGTCACTGCAGCTATGATCCAACAGAGCCTCACCTCTGTGCTGCTCCACAGGCAGCAGACCTCGGCATCACCCACATGGCAGTGGTCTTACATGCATGCAGAAGGCAAGCACTGTGGAGTCAGGGAGGCTTCCACCCAGATTTGGGGAGCTAGGCAGTGTGTCCCAGAAACGGCAGTTCATGAAGCTGTGAGGGTGAAGCCCAAAATGCAGCAGAGACCCCAGAAAAGTTGAAAAGCCAGGAATGTGAAACATCCTCCTGAAGATAGCTCTGTGGTGAGCAAAGCCACTTGGAGAGCAATGCTTTGTAGACTGCAACCAGCAACATCATATGGGTGGGGTCCCCCAAGCACTTTGCAGGTTACATCTCATCACAGTTTTCCTGGTGCTGAACACAGAACTACAGAATTTAATACTTGCTTTGCTGGGGTTTTGTCTTGCTTTGGTTGTATGCCTTTCTGTCCTTTGTGTCTGTCTCTCTTTTGGAATGGAAATGTTTATCCTATGCCATTGCGTGTTAGAAGTGTTGAACTTCTTTTTAATTTTTACAGAGGCTCAAAATCAGAGTTTGCCTTGAGTCTCAGAGGCAACTTTGGACTTTTCAGTAATGCGAGAACTGTTATGACTTTGGTAACTCCTAGAGATGGGCAATGAACAATGAAGTGGATATAAGCCTTTTGGGGCCAGCGACAGAATGTGTAGGGGTCTAGAATGTACCCTCAAAGGGCATGTGTTCAGAGGTGGGTTCTTGGAAAGTGACTGGGAGGCACCATTAGGGGCTCACCTACTGCTGAGGTCAGAGAGGTGTGTGCTGTTACGAGTGGGGTCTGGTTGGGACAGGCGGGTCACTGGGCTGTGACTTGGAAGGGTTTATGTCGGTCAGCACCTGAATAGCACCCACCAGACCTGAGCACCTCCATGGGGATCTGATACCACTGGATCTCTTCCTTAAAGAGACAATCCTTTGCATTCAGGACAGTGTCCATCCTCGGGGTCCCTCTGTTTCAATCATGCAGACTCCTGAGCTTGTTAAGGAAATGTCAGCACTGGTTTAGAAACAGGGTGATAAGGGTAGGCCTGCTCTCACTGTGGATGAACCTGTTGGTACACAGGGCAAGCCTTACCTCCCAAGGCCTGGCTTTGTGCTGCCCTGCAGATGGGCACCAGCATAACACTAGCCATGCACACACATCTAATTTCTCATAAGGGTTCTGTGTAGGAGCTTTGGTCAAGAGCCAAGGTTGCAGGTAAGCATGTGGAACGACAGGCAGGGACACAGTCAGCACCTCTCAACATGTCCTTGGAGCACGCAGCAAATTTGGAGAGCTTTGTGACAGCAGAAGAAGACAACCTCACTGGTTTTCCGGAAGTTCTATGGCAGGTGACATCACTGCCCTACTATCAAAGGAAGTCCAGTGAATGCTGCGCAGACTCCACCATCGGCCTCTTTCTGATCAGTATCAGAAGAGGGATAAGGCTCAGCTAAAGCAGGGGCACACGGTGCTGGCAAAGCTGCCCAGGCTTCTCACACCCACCCTGGAGGGGTGTCTGGCACAGCCCATGGTGGCACAGCTGGGGCAACAAGTGGATTTAATGATGCGCCAACACAGCCAGGGCGCAGCCTACCCTGCCAAACTGTGTGATTCCTGTCCAGTTACTGACTGGCTCCCTGCTTCCTTCCTTCCTTCCTTCCTTCCTTCCTTCCTTCCTTCCTTCCTTCCTTCCTTCGTTCCTTCCTTCCTTCCTCCCTCCCTGCCTCCCTCCCTTCCTTCCTTTTCTGATTGGCAAACTCTGCTTCCTGGGACCAGGGAAGGCTTGGTTCCTCTGTACCCTGTAGTATGGCAGTCACCAGGAGCACGTGTTAACGGGGACTCAAACAGGTGCTGTAATTCAATCAGCTGAAATTTAAATAGTCATAATCGGCTTAGAGCTGGGTACTGCACTAGGTCCTGCTAGAGAATAATAGTCTCTCAGCGCCCTTGGAAGGTTTTATCATTACTCCCATTTCTTACTGGAGGCTGCTGAGAGTCTCAGGATTATCCGAGGTGCCCAGGATCGGAAAGCTAGCAAGCGGCAGAGAAAACTCCAGCGAAATCCAGGCAGTCCAGCCCAGCTCCCACAGAGACACTGAGCTGCAGTTGCCCTTCACGGTAGAGAAGTCTCCAGGCAGCTCTGAGCCTCAACAAGCTCCAGGCTGTGCATACTCAATGAGGGAAGGAAAGGGTGGATGATGGTGATTCTTTCAACACACACATGCGCACACACACACACACACACACACACACACACACACACGAAAGCACTTCTCTTGGCTATGACAATCAAACGTGAACTGTTAAAACCATGTCCATCCTAATTATATCTGACAGGCCCGAAACTCTGCTGCGAACTTCGGCCCTAACCAAATACCAGTCACATGAATTCAAGGCAACATGAAAAAGACTTCATTAAACCTCTGCCACGTGCCCGTACACCTTTGAAGCACTACTCTATCCTGCCTCACCTTTGACAGACAAGCCAGATTATGTTTTCCTTCCTAAATCAACAGGAAACTATGCAAAAGACGGAGAATTTGGGATTGCAAAAGAGTGGTTTGGAAACAGAGGGTCAAAAACTGTGAGTCAAGTGTGATTATTGATTATCTTCTCCATGAGCCTGAGTTTGAATGAGAGTGAGTGGATTCCGGGGTGAGAGCTTAGTGAAACCCAGGGGCCAGTCTCAGCAAAGTCCTGGACCACCAGTGACCTTAACATCCTGTTCCCTCCCCAGGGTTACCCACCTGGCTCCCAACTCTGGCATCCCATAATAATGGGAACAGGCGAGATGTGGGTTAAAGAGAGCCACGAGTTCCTTGCAGGCCCCTAGTGCCTCACACCAGAAGGTCATCCATGAGCCTGAGTTTGCCTTGACCACCAGGAGATGGAGAGGACATGGTGTATGTCTGCTACCTTGGGTTGAAGAGACCAAAAACTCCTACTTCCTGTCTTTAGGGACCCACCCCCACCCCGCATTCTCTAGCTGACTGAATCGCCCGGCATGGTGGTGCACAGCTATAATCCCAGCACTCTGGGAGGCTGAGGCAGGAGGATCGAGTTTGGCTCCAACTGGGCAGTTTAAGAATGTATCAAAGCCTGTCTCAAAAAATAAAGGCTGGGATGTAGTTCAGTAAGAAGACCCTGGATGCAACACCAGGACCTTGGGACCGTCATAGGTAACGACATATAGGCACATGGCCAGGGGCTAGTGGAGCCCGCCTTAGTCATGTCTGCCCAGGACAGGACAGGGTGGCTCTTTTCCTCGTGACTCCCCAAAGCCACCTCACTGCTGGGTGCTCTTGCTGTGCAGTGTCACCTTCTGCTCCTTATGTGTGAAGTCTCACCCTGCTCCTCAGCCACCCTGCTGCTGCCCACCTACCGATGAAGCCGGAGGACGGTGGGTTGGGCTGGATCTTCTCCTTCGTGTTCTCCTGGATAATGTCCCACAGCTGCCATATGAACTTTGGGTGCAGAATGTAGAACGGCTGAGCGGGGTGTCTCTGACGGTGCTGAACATACGGTGTGAACAGGTTATAATCTGGCTTCTTGTACCACTGAGGGAAAAAGAGCATGTGGTCAAGGACACACAGTGACAAGGAGACTGGGCAGCCTGTGGGTCCAGGCACAGGGATCAGGCTAAGGCAGGAGGGAAGCAGGCTCTAGGCTCCCCGCTGGACTCATACAGGACATTTCTGCAGGATCTAGGCCCTCAGCTGGATTCTTTGGGTCTCCAGTGTGTGGACAGATTTCCTGCACTCCTTTATATGTGGTTCTTTGGGTGAATATTATAAAACAATCCTATAAATTACGTGTCCTGTATTAAATTGTTTCCCTTGCAAACTCTATGACAATTTCCAAAGGTATTTAATGTCACCCTGTCACAACAGCAATGCACAGGACCAGCTAGTTCTCTGGCCGGGCTCAACTGGCCAAGGCAGGCCACACCTTGGGCCCAGGGCTCATGAGTCAATCAAAAGCATCAGGTGACCTGGGTGGGCCATCACAGAAACACTCACCAGGTAGAGATTGGAGGAATAGGGAGCGGGGTCCCAGGCCACCAAAATGACGTCTTTATACAAAGTGCTGTCAATGAAGTGATAGCCGGGGTTGGCCAGAATCTGCAAACACAGAGGAAAAGCCATGCTAAGGGCTCTGCTGTTCAGAAGCACGGTTTGGAAGCCAGTGTCAGTGAAGAAGAGGAAGCAGGGGAAGGGGCGAAACGGGCAGCCTCCCTGACCCCGCTGGCAGGGGGAGAAGAGCACGGCGCTGCTCTTCCTCTCCTACCGCACTGCACCCGAAGGGGTGACACCCTGCACCCCAGGCCTGCAGTGCGCCTTGAGTGCTGAGGCAGTCACTGGAGGCCAGCACCATCCTCCCCCGAGTTCGCTCGGCTCCCAGGATTGCCCAGTCTCATCTGCCACCACCTTTTCAAGCTCTTACTTGGGGTCTTCACCATGAAGGACTTGGACTGTTCCCACATTACTTTTCCTGGGACCAGGAAGCATCTTACAGGGGAGATGGGTTTTAACGTGCTGGGTTTCTCCTCTTCCAAGAGTTGCTGGTAAATGAACAGTGGATCTTCCAGCCGTTGACAGCTGTCCTGAGCAGGTGTGGGGCTGTGTCTCCCTCACAGTGGGCAGCTGGGCCCAGGGAGCTGACCCTTGGCTATGGGGCAACGCACCGGAAATCACTGACCACCTCATTTTTCCAACAGTTTCTAGAACTCTGGAAATTGTTGTGTGTTCTGTTCTGAGAATAATTGCGCCACAGTTCGGAAGACACTCTCATCACAAATGTGAAGCAATGGGGTATATTCATTTGTATCAACCATCTCTGTTAATTTTCAGATTTCCAAATACTAAAGTTTCAAAGGGATCCACGAGCCTTTGGATTTAATTGTCTTTATTTATCTTCCTTTTAATCTCTGCAATTTTTACTTCAATAGTAGAGATTTAACCCAAAGCCTTCACTCTGAGCTAATGCCCAATCTTTTTTTTAAAAAAAAAAAAAACTTTTGGAAACTCTGAGACAGAGTGTTACACAGTCACTACATTCCTAGGCTGGGCTGGAACTTGCAACGCCCTGCCTCAGCCTCCCAGAGTGCGGGATCACCGATGTGCGTCGTCACACCCGCTAGGCCCTGCAGTTCTTGTTCTTACAGCGACTTCTGCTTTCCTCAGGCCCTACCAGGCAGCCTGGCAGGCCTGTGGTCTCCGCTGCTTTTTCTTTCAGTCTTCCAGCCTCTTTCCACTCGTCCCGTGCCTCCTCTCCACTGCTCTGCACTTCTCATCTTGGAGTCTTTCTAATCGCAAGACCCACATCGATAAGCAAGTGCCATGGCCACGAGCAGCAGGCAACCTCTGCCCGCTCACCCAGGCAAACTCTACCCGAGAAACGCACAGCCGAGGCCGGCCCACCACTCACCTGGGAGTTGATGATGCGGATGGTGGTTTTGTTGCCGACATCCTTCTCATAGCCACGCGTGGGCGCAGAGTTAAACCTCAGCACCGCGTCGTGGGCATCTAAGGGCACATAAGTGACAAGGTTACTCTATCTCTGTAGGGAAAGATGTTACAGCAAACCTTTCAATACCAAAGCCACTCGGACATTGCCAGAAAGCCAAGGTATATGTACATACATTTTCGGATAATTTACTATTGGCTTAGGATGAGCACTCGGCTCTGGAGATCAACATGGAAACACGCAGCCATGCACGCACAACACAGGTCTGCCTGAAGGGCTCGCGCATCCCCCAGAGAGCATGGCCATAGACGGTGCACTGTCTCAGGCTGTGAGCTCCCTCCACACTCTGCACTGAGGAACGTGTCCAGGGGTGCGGTCTCAGAGCCCATCCCCTCCTAAGTGACCTATCAGTGACTGTCTCACACATAGGAACCCCAGTCACGGCCTCCTGAGCCACACTTGGACCTCATCTTCTGAAGTTCCTTACAGGTGACATTTTTCATGCTGCCTCCCACAGTGCCAAGCTGTGGAAGGAGCAGGAGCAGGTGTCAGCAGGTGGGCTGTCAACAGAGCCCTGAGGTCTGCAGAGGGAGTCTGGGCTGCACCAGGGCCGCTGCACCTCACATTGGGTAAGAACCCCACCTCCTGGTCCACTGTCCCACTTCTGCTGAGGGTTTGTGCTTAAGAAGAAGCTAGGCTCAAGGGCTTGGTGGTACACACAGGTAACCCCTGCACTTGGGAGGCTGAGGCAGGAAGATTGTAAGTTGGAGGCCAGCCTGGGCTACATAGTGAGACACTGTTTCTAACAGAAAAGAGAAAGGAAACAAGGTAGGGATGGAGGGAGGAAAAGAGGGAAAGGAACAAAGGGAGGCAGGAAGGAAAAAAGGAAAAAAAAAAACGAAGAAAACTAGTCCTCATTTCTGAGACGCCTTCCACCTGACTCTGTGCTCAGAGTCTAGGGCTGGGTGTCCCAGCTACAGGGCTCTCTGCTTCACTGTGCATTCCTGGTCCCCAGAGTCACACACATCCCACATCTATAGCAGCCCTGCATCCAGATTCTCCAGCCGCCACCTGAGAGGGTCCCCTGCCATGGGGGCTGAGGAGGACACAGGGAAGTGGGGGTGCAAGCGAGGAGGGGGATGTGGAGCTGAGTCCCTGTCCCCTGGTCAGGCTGCAAGCATTGGCGCTGAGAGGCCGCAGCCAGTGTGAACAGGAGCAGGGGATTCTGGGCAACACTGCTGCTCACACCACAATCGACCCACAGCAATGCCACGTCCACCCCATGAGCCCACAGACACTGCCTCCTCCAAGGTCCTGGATCCCTGGTGGTGTCTCCGCCTCGATCCTGGAGTGGCTACCACACATGGCCCACTGGGTCACAGAGGCACCTTTAAGCATGAGCTCGCACCTGAACACAAGCTCTCAGCCTGAAGGTAAGGATGCCAGCATTGAGCGCCACACTTGCCACACTGGAACACACAGCAAGCTCTCTTGCAGCCTGGCTAACCTGGCAACCACCACTAGCCTCCTGTGGGGGAAAATCCTGCCAGAGGCAACAAGCTGTGACCTGAGAGCCAAGTCAGTCTTGGCCCCAGGGACAGCCACAGTGCAACACCTTCACAGGTCCCCTAGTGCACATGGCCTGCAGAGGCTGCTTGGAGCTATGGGACAGAGACCTGCTCGCTGGGCACAGGGCTACCAGCGTCGTCACCTGCACCCCCCATGGGGTTGCTGCCCGCTGCATAGGCGAACTGCTAGCTAACAGTTTTCCTGTATTGTGGTTCGTTATGTACTTTTATTAAACAGGGTACTGAACAGTGTATCAAAACCAAAACCAAAAAAACCCGATGATACTTGAGCTAGAAACATCAGACTCATACTTTTTAGCCTCAGGGATGCTTTAAGAAAAAATATTCATCACATTTGCTCAGAAGTAGGACAAAGAAACTTCAAATGTTCATGCATCAATTTATATTTAAATGACATTTTAATAAAGTAACTATATCCTAACAGGCAGTGGGAAGACTGGCTCTGCTCTGGACGCTCCCCAGCTCCGCTGGCTCTCTGCAGGGACAGCTGGTGTCTCCTCGAAGCTCTGGCTGCATCTTCTGTGGGGAGCTGTGTTGGCTGCTGTTTGGGGCCTTGGAGACAGCACTGAGAAGGGGCTATTTTAGGGGTCCTCCCAGATGGCCATGAACACCCTCCTTTGATTCTTCCTCAAAACGTGACAAGTGCTACTTGCTAAAGGTTGGTGCAATGTGTAACTGGAAAAATACTGAGTTGCCTTTTCCTAGTAAACTGATAACTCTAGATTTCAGTTAAGCAGAAATCGAGGGTCTGCCATCATCCCAGTCTGAACCCCATCCCAGTGTCTCCTTCACCAGGACCCCTCCGTTCACCTGTCTCCATGATAAGAGGCTTCTGAAGTGGGGATGTTTAGAAAATTCAAACAAATGGCTGAATGGGATCCAACGAGTTCTGCTACATCAAAGTCCATTTGTCTATCTTGCTCTTAAAATGGGTCACTGACCCATGCATAATCTTGTTATGCTGAGCAATGACCATCTGAAGGTTCTCCAGTCCATGAGTCAGGCGGACCCTCCAGGTTCGAATGCATTTCATTCCCAAGAATCAGGAGCCTCACTGGCTAACAGCCCCATGGATGCCGCCAGGCTTCCAAGCACGGTTAAAGGGCTGGGTTCTAATACTCAACAAATACGATCAATTATTTTCTTAGAAGCTCACCTAATCCTTCTGGAGAAAACGCCTGCAGGATATCTGAGAGTGCACAGTTACACGCATCTCACACACTGTCCCCAGTGAGAGGTGCGGGCTGCCTCCCACACCCCTTTGGTCCCGCAGGACCTGTGTCCTTGGGCTCAAAGCTGACCTCGAGTGGGTTCATTCAGGCCTTCTGTCATGAAAGGCACTGATCCCTGGACTGCATGGGGCGAGAAACACCCTGCAGCTGGCACCTTGGGCAGGCCTTGAGCTGAGTAGGGAACCGTGTTACCCATCCCCACTTCAGCCACCACACAGAAGCCAAAAGGAAGAAGCACAGGAGCCCTGGGTGTCGCCCCACAGCCAGTTTCCCTTGTGGACCCAAAGAGTCCTCCAGCCCCTACCTGGACCACAGTGTTTGCTGGGACTGAGGGCAACCCCTGAGAAGGCAGAAAAGAAGAGGGTGTTGGATGGAGAGGGGCAGGGGCTTGGCACTGTCTGGCGACGTGACAGCAGAGACCAAGCTGCTGTCTGTGCTCACTGCATAGGGCAGAAGGGTCGCACCCAAGTGTGCAGAGTCTGGCAAAACCCATGGCTGGAGAAGCCACTTCTGGAGCAGCCAGTGCTGGTCTTGGGTGCTGCAGCCAAAGGTGCTCCCCCCAGCCCCCAGCAAAGATCACTTGCCAGACACCACCAGACCAGGACCCTCTTACCCTTGTCTTTGGTCAGAAAATGAGTGAGACTGCAGTGGCCACCTGGGGTCAGGGTCTGAGCGACCACCTCCCCAATGCCCCAGCACACAGGAAGCTGAGTCAGAGCCCATGCCCTGGTCCTGGGCCAGGCGGCAGGTACCAAGCTAAGGCCCAGGTAGGGTGGAAGCCAGGCTCTCCCCTGTGACTTCATGGACCACGCTGTCCTCTCTGCTCCCCTGCAACAGAGCAGTTGCAGGTCCTACACTCTGGACCTGCAGCCAGCACTACTGAGCATGGAGTGGGCTCCATCTGTAGCAAACTCCTAAAGCTGGGGCCCTGACTCCTGCCAGGCTGTCCCTGCACTGCCTCAATGGCACTCTTGTGCACTCCCACCAGTGCCTGCAGGTCCTGGTGCCCTCCCATTGTGCGCTGGGTCTCTGCTTCCCTGGTGCCCTCTGCAGCCCCACTCGCTCTCTGGAACAGCCCTCTGCCTCCTCCCGCTGCCCAGCCATGCTGCCTGTATGTGGGGCTCATCTACTGAGTCTATGCAGAGTCTGCAGGCTGTGCCTACACCTTACCCATCTCTGTGTCCAGCACAGGCTCTGGTGGAAGTGGGGCAGTACTTGCTGGAGCGCTGTATGAACAGCTCCCTTGATCCCTGCCTCCCGCACACCCAGTATGCAGGCTGCATCCCTCCCTTGTTGCTACAGCCCTTCCTCTTTGGTGTGCGCCCACAGGAGGTGGGTTCCAGAACCGAGCTCCCCAGCATTCCTAGGCGAGCACCTCCCAGCTCGGCTGCAGCCCTCATGGGTCCATGACCTTGGCAAGTCCCTGACTTGATACTGAGGGCCCAACGAGAGTGCAGCTACAGCGGATCCTGCACAAATCTGTCTTCACTGTGGAAGCTGTGAAGCTGCTGGGTCTGTACTGACCACTGCCACCTTCAGACACAAAGCAGAGGACACCACCTGGCCCACAGCGATGCCAGCCTAGGACAGGAAGGCTTTGCTGTGCACATGTCTCATGCTGTGATTATCCATCCTGTAAATGTAGGTGCCAAATGGCTCTGACTCCAGGGAGCCAGACAGAGCAAGAAGGAGGCTTTTAAAACACTTCCCAGAAGCCAGGAGCAGTGGTGCACTCCTGTAATCCCAGCACTCAGGAGGCTGAGGCAGGAGGATCTTTGTGAGTTCAAGACCATCCTGGGCTACAAAATGAATTCAAGGCCAGCCTGAACTGAACAGTGAGACCCTGTTTCAAAAAGACATCAGGAAAAAACCACACTTCTGGGCACAGTCTTCACTTGAGTCTCCCTGTTTCTGTAACAAAGCCTCACAGCAGTGCACTCAATCTGAGTGGACTGGAAAATCAGAAAGAGCAATAACACAACCCCAGCTCTTCACGTTCCCAGAAGCAGATGTCCCAGCGCCATCCTGCAAATTCGCTTCCAAGCACAGAATCCTGTCAAAGGCTCTGGCGGGGGACACTGATGCAGGAATGCACAGCCAGGGAAGCCTGAATGCTGTGAGTTTATGCTGCCAAGAAGTTTACAGCAAAACCAGATCAGAAGCCAGTTGCTGCCCCCTCAGGGCATCACACTTAAATCCTCCTCTGCATTATTAATGTTGGTCCCAGAACGGGGAGGACTGAGCTGTGATCCCTAAACTGCTGCTCTTTCCTAATAAACCATAGGCGCTCTGCCCCGCCTTTGACTAAAAGAGCACGCAACACTTGGACCATGTTATCCTGAGCCTCACGCAATGACCCCAGACTCGGGGACCCTGGGCCGCAAACCCAGGTGTCATGTTTGGGTTTCTGGGCAAAGAACCTTCCCATCCGGCTCCTTGCCAGGACACCCTGGCAGTCTGCCCACAGCTCACGTTCTGTCTCATGTTCCATGAGAGCCTAGACGGCCTCTCCTCAAAGATGCAGGGCAGCAGCAGGACTTCTGGATCCAGGGAGAAGTCTGCAGCAAAGGTGCCGAGTCCCCAGGGCAGAAGAAAGGAGCCCTTGAGAAGCAGGGTCCCTCAGCCCAAGAGGGGAGTGCGGGAGGGTGGGGTGTGTGTGACCCCTGGGACTCTTGAAGGTGCCCTGTGCTACTCTGGTACTGATGCCACGTGTCACCTGCACCAACTGTGTGGCCGGTGTTGGTTAAGAGATGCCCCTGAGAAGCTCCCATTTTGGGTGTGAAGACGCCCAGGTCAGCCGACTTCAGGAGGGCAGAGCCCTCCTCACATAGTGTGTGGTCCTCAGTGCATCAGCCTTCGGGACAAAGACTCTGCCTTAAGAATGCCAGAGAGCCCTACCTGGTCCCCACCTCTGGGAATATCAGGCACATTCAGGACCTGCACATCAACCATCCTGCCTGACCCCTTCCACTAAGTCTCTCTATCACCGGGTACTTGACAAATGCAGGCATCCCACAGGCTTTGGAGCTAGTCTGGTCAGGATGATGCAGACTCAGCCCCTTCGCAGCCCCCCCCCCCTTGCATGTCCAGGGAGGGGTCCAGAGGCCAGGTGAGGATTGGGGAATGAGAGCCCCATGCAGCTCTGCTCCCCTCTTGTAGGAGTCCAAGGTTTGGGCACTGAACCCAGAATGCTCATAGAGCATGCTCCCCCGGGGTGCCAGCCCACGGAGCACCTCCCTCCCTCCCTCCCTTCCTCCCTCTTTGTTGGTTGGTTCCCTGTCTTCTGGCCTCTGAGGTTTGACAAGGACGCACCCACAGGGTGCAGCAGGGAGACTGTGTGAGGGGGCTTGGGAGGAACGCAGTGGTGAGGACCAGGAAGCTGGAATAGCTTGGGGGCCTCATCCTCTACCTGGGAACCTCCAAGCCCTCCCCAGCTCCAAGGGCCAGTGACCCGCAGGGTCTTCCATGGGTCCGGTGCGTCTGGACACCCACCGATCTCGGCGCCCAGGGAGGAGTTCAGGATGGCGCCGGCCGACATGACCACGGCGCAGCTGCGCAGGCCACGCGGGTGCAGCTGGCTCAGGGCCGTGGCGGGCACGAGGCTCTGCCACCCGAGCGTGGTGAAAGGCGGCTCCGTGCCGTCCAGGGTGCGCGGGCGCGCGCGCTTGAGCGCGCACAGCAGCTCAGCCGGGTCCCTGCGCGGCGCGCGCCGCCCGCGGAACCGCACGCCGTGTTTGTTGGCGCGCACGTAGTCGCGCATGGCCTTCTGTAGGCGCGGGCTCAGCATGCGCGCTGACGCCTCGCCGGTCCACAGCCGCCGCAACAGCACGCCGGGCAGGGGCGCGGCCAACCGGTCCCCGTCCAGGCCTCTTGGCGACAGCGAAGAGCGGCCACGGGTCTTCCTCTGCGCGCGCCGGCTGGGGACCGGCCCCAGGGAGCGGGCCCGCGCCCGCGGGGAGAGCTGACCCGGGGACGCGAGCCCCAGGACCCCTAGCGCGCGGCCGCGCCTCCCGGGCTCGCTGCCCAGGAAAAAGTAGTCGTAGTCCTCCGGGTAGAAGGCGCTTTGGGATCTCCGCCCAACCTGGGAGGTGAAGAACTCGTCCTCGTCCCGAGGGCCGCCCTGGCTCCCGGCCACCTCCTGCGGGTCTGCGGGCACTGCGTGAGCCCGGCCGCCGGGGTGGACACGGGGCGCGGGCTCGTGCGCGGCGCCCATGATGGCGCGCTGCTTGCCCTGCACCGGCAGGAGCCGCCGCGTCTCCAGGAAGGACAGGGCGCTGGGTGCAGCCGCCGCGGGGTTGCTGTCGGTGAAGTAGATGAAGATTGCCAGGAAGAGAAGCCCCCACGCGAATATGCCGAAGAGCATGCACTGCCTCCACTGCTTCAGGTGCGGTTTCATGGCAGAGCTGTGGGGTCAGTGCCTGGGCTGGAGCGGCGGCGGAAGGCCGAGGAACCTGCAAAACAGGCGAGAGCTGTGATTAGCCAGCACGTGGAAGGCAGCGAGGGTGCTTAGGGGCATGGGGACTGCCGGATTGGATTCAGGGGTCAGAGATAGCTAGACCTGTCCCGCCAGGGTCTCGGGAATCTCTGAAGAGAAGCGCCCTCAGCAGATGACTCGGGGGCCTGAGGGTCTGCTCCTGACTCAAGTCCACGGGCCCACCCAACTAGTGCTCAATGAGCGTCTACAGAATCTCAGCGCGGCAGAGCATCTCTCCTGAGTCCCTGAGTCGCCTTCTGGAGGCTCCGAGTTTGACTGTGTTCCAGCAGCACCTCTGCATTTATTTCGGGGAGAGATAGCCAGGGCTGTCTCCTGATGGCCTCTCAGGCAGCCCCAAGGGTCACCGCTGATCATGTTTCCTGGCACGTGTTACACCAGGTGCATGCCTGTGGCCTTCAACAGGGCCCTCAAACCTCACTCTTCTACCTCCGCAGCAGCACGGGTCACCAGGGATAGGAAGTGAACCTGGGAGAAGTGGTGCTGGTGCTGTCCTTGGGCACATCTCATTTGGTTTCTTCAGCATCTAATAAGGTTGGAGACACTGCTGTATCCATCTTTATGCAGGGAAACGGAAGCCCGGAGAGGCTGAATAACTCAAAGCCCCAGAGCCAGCAGCCAGCAGAAAATGCAAACCCATCTGCTTGATTCCAGGGCTCAGGCTTTTAGCTCTAATTTCATAATCCATCTGCTCCTCATACCAGCTGAAGTGCTGGTCCTAAACTGGGCTCCTCACACTGTCCGTGGTGAACGATCGTTCTTCCCAAGTCGTCACTGTCTGATGTCTTCATGTGTCACTGCCTGAATGCGCTGGCAGCATCCAGGGCTGTCTGTCCAAGTTTCTAGGTGCTTATTCGGCGGCCCTGCCGTCTCACTGGGAATCGGTGATGGCTCTGCCAGTGTTCAGTCAGTACAGCTGGCAGGGGGTGGGGTGTGTTGGACATCGCCTGCCTGATCTGTCCACACGGGACCCTGGGTTTAAGCTGCAGTGCCCAGCAAGAAGGGCTTGAAGCTCTTTGCAGTGTTTCAAGATATCTAACAGAAGGCGGAAAATTACCCTCGAAACCAGCTCTTCTTTCAATCATGATGAAGATAACTGTGAGACTTGCAATCCAAAGCCAGTGCCGTCACTGGCAAGAAGGCCCTCACTGCCAGTGGCCCCTTGGGCTGGGAGGTTCCTGTGACCCCCTCAGCTTTGGTAGTGTTGGAAAGACTAACAGAAGTTAGGGAAGAGCAGCACTTGGGATTACGTTTTTGTACTAAAGCTTAACGTGTTAGTTTTTCTGCTGCTGAGACAAAATTCTTAACTGCCAAAATTTGAATTTGAAGGAAGAGTTCTTTGGTTTGTATCTCAGGGGTCACAGGGAGGGGTGTGGCCAAGGAAAGCGGCTCATGGGAGGCAGAGACAGGAAAGAGACTGATGGGAAGGAGCCAGGTGTCACATAGGGTCCCCAGACTGAGCCTTCTTGACCATTTCCCTCCAACCGGCCCCTCCTCGTGAGGACATGCTCTGCTCAGCAAGGTTAACCCTAGTGCGCTGTCCGCTAATTCGCTGTCTGGTTGGGTAGATGGTCCAGATTAACAGCACATGTTGCACACGAGTGAGACTAGAGGACCAGCAGGGGTCTGGGTGCCGACCCCTCCTGGCACATCACAGCAGCCAATCAGAAAGCTCAGCTCGGCTTTCATGGGGTTTCCTAGGCTAACTGAGAGACTTGGTTGTGTGACTGAACACCATCTCCAGGCCACCTGTCTTGCCGTGAGACCAGCTGGCCCAAGGTGCAGCCCTGGATGGTCTTTTTGGGGATCAGTGCCCAGCTGGAAGCTGTCTGTGGTTCCGGGGGGGGGGGTTCCCTTGCTAGGACAGCAGACATCATCTGTCACTCAGGAAATTCCTGGAAAGTTGGAAACTTCAGGCCTGCAGGCCCTGGGGAAAAGACCACTGTGCCACGCCAGGGTGCGGTCACAGACTTGGAAGATTCCCTGCCTTCTGTGGATGGGAATCGTTTCCTGGCTTCCTGTACTCATGAGACAGAAAGCAAATTTAAGCTCCCAGCATTTACCTGAGAGACAAGCTGAAGTGTGTATGGAATGAAGGGAAGTAAAATGACAAATGCCGAACTGTTGAGGAGGAGCCATAGACCCCTGGCTTGCGGCCAGTGCATCACCATACGGGGAGGAGTGACGTCTTGGTTCAGTGGTCTCAGGAAGCTGCAGGAGACCTGCTGAGAAGGGGAACCTGCTAAATAATCCCAGAAGGTTGCCTCCCATGGTATACTGACGTCCTTATGTAAATTGCAGATCCTTCTCTGAAGAGATGGCAGCCAGCTCCTTCAGGGAGGAGGTGGCCCATGTGACAGAGGGGTGGCCGGAACTTAGCTGGGGACAGCAGAAAGGAAAAGGCAGCAAGTTTGCCTGGATTCTGGGTGCCAGGATGGTTTGTCCTCTAAAAGGTAGACAGAGGGGGCTCGTGCATGCTCTGAGCTCTGCAGAGGGGCCCAAGTCCCAGCACAGGGGACGATGGCTCCTCTTGAGGCATGATGCAGCTGGGCCCTGGGGGAAGCAATTACAGAAAGCAGTGGGTCCCCGCCTGCACTCTGATGGCCTGGGGCTCCCAGAACTGCAGACCTCCTGTTACTAACAAGGGATGGGTTGCATCTCAAGGTAGCAGCATATGCTCTGCTAGCAGAATGCTCCAGAAGCCGCTCCAGGGAACATGGGTCTCTGACAGTGTGTCCGTCCTCTTCTGAAAGGACCACACTGTCTAAGGAAGGAGGGTGTGGCCCCGGAGCAGAAAGCAGCCTTTCCTTAATTCAGGACATTGAGAAGCAGTGACATGGTGCAAGCAGTCAGCTGTCAAACACTGCTGCTCTCTGTGGGGTGGCAGAGGCCCGAAAGGCAAATCGTCTGTCCCCAGGCACCCACAGGAAGAGCTCCCTGGCCAGACGCCTTGAGTGTGTAATGGACAGTGCTGTAAGAGACCAAGAGTGTCGAGTTTGTGCCACTGCTCCCCTGGGAAGAGGCTGGGCAGGGTGAACCACGTGCCAGATGCACCATGGCTTCGATTCCAAGGTTCTGGCCTGGCAGCAGGAAGGTGCTGACGCCCTTTGGATGCTCTCTGCTGCCGCCTCCCTCCCTTCCTTTCCCAGCTCTGCTCCGGCGTCTCTTCCTGTGCAACCAAATTTCCAGGGTGCATCTGTCCTTACAGGCAAAATCCTCCGTGCCCTGGAGGTGGTGCCTGTAGCTGGATCCTGAGGCCCCTGCCAGGGAAGGGGCCACAGTTCTTGTTGATGTCCTCAAGCCAAGGAGTGCCGAAATTCCCTCTACAACTGTTCTGAAGGGAACCACACTTCTGCAAAGGTGCAGCTTATCACTTGTCAGTGAAACTGTGAAATGTGACACACAGCACAGCACAGAGAGGTTTTCTGCAGCTGTTTCTCCTTCCCTTCAAGGGCAGAGCGAGGTTAATTCTGGCTAGGACACAGTTAATTCCGGCTTGTACCTCGAAAGCCCTGCAGGCCCCGAGTTTTATCACCAGTTTTCTTGAATAGAGACTTTTTTCTTTTAAACACACTAATGTGTGTGCTGCGACCAGTAGCCACCAGGTTTCCTGTGTGTCTGAGAAACACCTGAGAGAGTGTGTGTGTGTGTGTGTGTGTGTGTGTGTGTGTGTGTATGTGTGTGTGCATGCGTGTGTGTGCTGCCTGCACTGATTTTCAGTCTCTATATTTTAATGCTGGAATGATAAAAAGTTGTGTGTCAGCTCTCGGGAGGCTCTCGTGTATCTTGATGGGCCGCGGGAGTCATTTTCTTTGGAGAATCATTTTTCTAAAATTAGCTCTTGTCACAGATCTGAGACACAGTCCGTCAGCAGGAGAAGAATCTTTCCCCAGCTGGAATTCTGTCTCCTGCCTCATACAAACGGCCCCTTCCCTTCTTCATTTTCTAATAAATGGGAGAAGGTCTCCAGCCTGCTGAGTGTGGAAAGCCGAGTCTACCCCACTCCTCACCCACTCTTAAGCCAGCATACAGAGAAAGGCCAGTGGGTCAGCTGAGCATGGGGCCATGGATCACAGTGCTTGTTCTCCGTGCAAGCTGTGTAAGTCCTGGGCAGGCTGGTCCCATGGCCGGCAGGGCCCTGGGCTCTGACTCCATATAGGTATGAAGCTGGAGGCCAATCCGCTGAGCCAGGAGGGGCTCTGTAGGGGCTGAGAGATCCACATGGCTTCACCTGGCAAAGGCATGAGGCTAAAGCACCAAGGGTGGCCAGCTATTTAAAACTCAGCAGACTGCCCCTTCCCGCAGGAAGGACCACATCTTACATCCCCAGCAACCTGAGGGAGGTGGCAGGGAGCTTCCTAATCAATACTTCAGAACTGATGCTATGAATGATTGAAATTGACAAAAATAAATGGGAAAAATGTGGCACAGGGTGGAGCACAGGACTCTGTTGGGTGATGAGCGTGTCTGTGTCTTGCTGTACTTTTTGGCCTGGAGGCCAAAAAGTCCAGGAGGCTTCAGGCAAATGTACAGCAAGCTGCTGGGTATAAGGTGGCAGATGGTCAGGTGGCGGGGTGGCCAGATGGTGGGGTGACCAGGTGGTGGGGTGGCTGGGTGGCCAGGCTATTTGCTGAGGGTGGTGCTGCAGGCGGGCTGGCTTCCAGGTGGCCACGCTTGCTCATTCACAGAGGTTCAGTGCTCATCAGGCCAGTTGTGGGTGAGCTAGTAGCAGTCATCAGGGGCTGTCACTTAGCAGGTACCCAGTCTGGAATGCTTCCACCTCGAGTCCCCATCTCAGCTTAATCTACAAGGAACTCTTCAGCATCCTGACTCTCTTTTGGCCTCCAAGGTGCCACAGGTTTCCTTCTAATGTTTTCTCCCAACCATCTCAGCTTTTTAAAATCCGAGTAATGGTCTCTCCCCTGTGCACAGCCACCCCGGTATCAGGCCCACTGCCCA